AGCCTATAGACTTGACTGATGAAAGTACTGTAAAATAAGTTAATGAAATGGAGGCTTGGGAAAGATCTGATAGGCTTAGTTTAATGTTTATAAGAATGACAATTGCAAATAACATAAAGACTTCATTACCGATTGCAACTAGTGCAAAGAAATATTTAAAGGTTATTAAAGACATATTTAAATCTATTGATAAATCATCGGCTAGCACATTAATGAAAGAACTGACTACGGCTCAGTATGATGGTACTCGAGGAATTTAGGATCACATCCTCAATATGGCTGACAAAGCTGTAAAACTTAAAACATTAGGCATAAATATTGATGAATCTTTCCTCGTGCAATTTATTCTCAATTCTCTTCCTTCTCAGTTTGGCCCATTCAAGATTCACTATAATACAAATAAGGATAAGTGGGACTTGAATGAGTTGACTAGCATGTGTGTTTAGGAAGAATTGAGATTAAGGCAGGAAAGTTCATATAATGTCATGGCTACTGCTCAAGGAGCTGGTAATAAGAAAAGAAAATTGAAGCATTATCAATCAAAGAAACTTGTCGGGTCTGGAAATGTTAAACAGACTAATGAAAAGAAAACCTTATTGTAAAGTGCTTCTTTTGTGGCAAAAAAGGAAAGAAGGACTGCATTAAATGCAAGACTTGGTTCGAAAAGAAAGGTATTAACTCGACCTTTGTATGTTTCGAATCAAATATTACAGAAGTTCCTCATAACACTTGGTGGATTGATTCTGGTGCTTCAACTCATGTTATAAATAACTTGCAGGGATTTCTTTCAATTTGGAAACCAAAAGAACATAAAAGATTTATCTTTATGGGAAATCATCTTAAAGCGAAAGTGATATCAATGGGAACTTATCGTCTACGTTTAGAGACAGGTCACTTGATGGATCTTGTTGACACATGTTATGTCCTTACAATTTCTAAAAATTTGGTTTCTCTTTCTAAAATTGATGAGTTAGGATATTGTCTTTCTTTTGGTAGTGGCAAACTCAGTATGTTTTATGATTCAATAAAAGTTCGTTCTGGAATTCTATGTGATAGTTTGTATAGAATTAATTTGGATATTGAGTTTGCAAAGACATTAATGACCCTGCAATCAAGTGTTGGATTGAAACGTAGTTTCAATAATAAAAGATCTTCTATATTATGGTGTAGACGATTGGGGCATATCTCCAAGGAAAGAATTGAAAGATTAGTGAAGGATAATATTTTGGAACATTTAGACTTCACTGATTTTGATGTTTGTATAGATTGCATTAAGGGAAAGCAAACTAAACATATAAAGAAAAATACCACAAGAAATAAAGAACTCCTTGAGATTATTCATACTGATATCTGCGGACCACTCCATATTCCTTGTTTTAGTGGAGAAAAATATTTCATCACATTTATAGATGATCTGTCTAGTTATGACTATGTTTATCTAATACATGAAAAGTCTCAAGCCATTGATACTCTTGAAGTATACATAAATGAGGTTGAGAGATAATTAGATAGAAAAGTTAAAATTATCATATCTGACAGAGGTGGTGAATTTTATGGCAGATATGATGGATCTGGTCAGAATATTGGCCTTTTTGCTAGATTCCTAGAACAACGGGGTATTTGTGCTCAATATGCATTACCAGGTGTGCCACAGCAGAACGGTGTTGCTGAAAGGCGAAATCGTACTCTGATGGACATGGTTAGGAGCGTGATGAGTTATTCCTCTGTACCTGAGTCGATGTGGGGTGAAGCTCTTAGGATAGCTATGTACATCTTGAACAAGGTTCCTAGTAAATCAGTTTTATTGACTCCATTTGAGTTATGGACTGGTATAAAGCCCAGTCTAAGACATTTACATATTTGGGGGTGTCCTGCATAGATAAGAGTATTCAATCCACATGAAAAGAAATTGAATCCAAGAACTATTTCAGAATATTTTATTGGTTATCCAGAAAAATCCAAGGGATACAAATTTTATTGCCCTAATTATAGTATGAGAATAGTAGAATCTGATAATGCAAAATTCCTAGAAAATGGTGAAATCAATGGGAGTGAAAAATCTCGAAGGATTAATTTTGATATCGAGGAGATTTAGGTTAATTCTCCCATATCATCTCCTATTCGAGAGATTGTTGTTCCTCAAATCAATGAGAGTATTGATGAGGGTGAACAATAAAATAACATAAAAAAACTCTCACATAATATTGATGTCGTCGTTGATAATCTTGTAGAACAATCACAATTAGCAGATTTGAGAAGATCTCAAAAGAAAAAGAAACATGTCATTTCTGATGATTATGTGGTATATCTACAAGAATCAGATTATTATATAGGAATAAAAAGAGACCCCTTATCGTTTTCACAAGCCATAGAAAGTAACGATTCTGAAAAATGATATGATACAATGAAAGAAGAGTTAAAATCAATGGTCTAGAATAGTGTCTGGGATCTCGTTGAATTGCCCAATGATTGCAAAAGAGTCGGTTGTAAATGGGTCTTTAAGACAAAACGCGACTCAACGGGTAATATCGAACGATATAAAGCTAGACTTGTGGCCAAAGGTTTTTCTCATAAGGAAGGCATCGACTATAATGAGACTTTTTCTCTAGTTTTAATAAAGGACTCATTAAGAATCATTATGTCATTAGTAGCTTATTATGATCTTGAGTTGCATCAGATGGATGTGAAAACAGCATTTCTGAATGGGGATCTGGATGAAGAAATCTATATGGAACAACTTGAAGGATATATTGAAAAGGGAAAAGAAAATTGGGCTTGTAAACTTAAGAAATCGATTTATGGCCTTAAACAAGCTTCCAAACAATGGTATATAAAATTTCATAATACCATCACTTCCTTCAGATTTAAGGAAAATACTATTGATCAGTGTATATATCTGAAGGTAAGTGGGAGCAAGTTTATTATATTGGTCTTATATATTGATGATATTTTACTTGCCAGTAGAGATCTTGGTTTATTGCACGAAACCAAGATATTTCTCAACAAGAACTTTAAGATGGTTGATATAAATGAGGCAGCCTATGTTATTGGCATTGAGATATTCAGGGATAGATCTCAAGGATTATTAGAATTGTCTTAGAAAGGATATATTGATCGTATCTTGGAAAGATTTAATATGCAGCTTTGCTCAACTAATGATGTACCTATTACTAGAGGTGAAAAATTCAATCAAAACCAGTGCCCAAGAAATGACTTAGAAAAGAATCAAATGAAGAATATTCCTGATGGGTGCGCAGTTGGAAGTCTATTATATGCTCAAACTTGTACAAGACTATATATTAGTTTTGCAGTTGTAATGTTGGGAAGATACCAAAGCAACTCAGGAATGGAACATTGGAAAGCTGAAAAGAAAGTAATGAGATATCTGCAAGGGACGAAAGATTATATGCTCATATACAGGAGATCAGATCAGCTTGAAGTGATAGGATATTCAGATGCTAATTTTGTAAATTACCTCGACAGTATGAAGTCCACTTCAGGATTTGTATTTATATTAGCTAGTGGGGCAATTTCTTGGAAAAGTGTAAAGTAATTGCTTATTGCATCATCAACAATGGAAGCTAAATTTGTGGCATGCTTTGAGGCCACAAATCAAGCTTTATGGCTGCAAAATTTCATCTCGGGACTTGGTGTGGTCGACTCAATTGCTAGGCCACTGAAAATATTTTATGATAATACTGCAGTAGTTTTCTTCTCTAAGAATAGCAAGTACTCTAGTGGTTCCAAGCACATTGAGATAAAGTACTTGGTGGTTAGAGAAAGAGTCCAGAAACAGCAAGTGTCAATTGAAAATTTGAGCACCACTGATGATAGCTGATCCATTGACAAAAGCTTTACAGTGTAAAATATTCAAAGAACATGTTCTTAGAATGGAGCTTGTGAGCAAGTCATAAAGGATATGGTGATGCATGTTTATGTTGATACTATTATTGACCTTCTTCTTGCTTAATTAAAGTTATTTGTTTCTGCTATCCTGTTTACATTTATGTTTATGTATATTATGGTTGAATGTAATAACAGGATTGTCTTGACAAGACAAATTACATAGGTCATTATGGACTATATTAGGAAAGACTAACAATGTTGTGGTACATAGAAGGGAGTATGACATTGATGAAATACAACCGCTATGACTCGCATTGATAGTTGGACTTAATATAGTATTATTATGTTTATTGGACTTATTGACTTATTTTAAAACATGGCCATGTATAAAATGCTTTTCAAAATTTCTTGGAATCTAATTAGGTAAAATTATTTTTCAAACAAATTTTGTTTTGTTTATTTTGATTTTGAATATCTCTTTTATATCTTATCAATTAATGGGTCAAGTGGGAGAATGTTAGGTTTTTGTGGCCCTTTTATAATTGAATAAGATATATAATATATAACTAATTAGGTTTCGTTGAAATATTTTAGCCAATATAATAGAAGTCCATCTTACGAAACGATTCCTCGGGAGATAACCTTAATGAGAGAAAATCTCCTAAGATCTTATCGTAGACCCTTTGCTCTCGCCTATAAAAGGACAGGACCTCTAGGGTTGAGAGAGCGTTGGCACGTTATGTACAGATGCACCTCTCCATTGAGGAATTTCAGTTTCTCTCCCCTAAAACCCTTTCTCCCAAAAATCCATCAATCTTAGTGGGTCCTGTGAAAGGATAGGAAGAGAGAAGAAATGATCTATTCCTTACACTCCTTGCAGATTCCGCAACAGATTTGGATTAAAGACGGTACCTATAGCAATCTTGGATCAAAAACGATGCTTAGCAGATCAGACGAGATCTCTGAACAGATGGCATCAAAAGGTACGCATCGTAATAATTAGATCTATGCATTTGATTCTGATCCTAGCATAAAAGTTATCTCCGTATTTTTGATATGACATAATTATAGATTTTATGCTTACACCTCTCACGCACACAGAGTAACTTATTTTGATGATCTTATCAATCTCTTGAACACTACTGCATGCCCTAAGTACTTAATAATGGTCCCAGTGATCATAATTCAGCCATTTGTTACTTCAACACTCACAAGAGAGAATCACAAGCCCCATGCCAATCTCCAGCTTACTACATGATTCTAATAGAGAATTAACGAGGTTACACCATCACTACAAGACTCTCTCTTTATGATACAACATTCTCAAAAAAAAAAAAAAAAACTTGATTTGTACTCTTAGTCTGATTTCAGAGAACAATAATCCAAGTGTTACGATCATATCTGTACTTCTATATCTTCTTGTAATTCTTCCAACACTAAAGAAAGAAAATAACACAGGTTATCTGCACAAAATATAAAAAGAATAGCCTTTTGCAGCTCAGATCTTTGACCATGCTCTTGTGTCATAACCTTCGACACTTGTTTATCTGCAGTGCAATGAGTGTCCCCAACTTGTAAAATATGAAAAAGAATTGGCCAGTTATTACTGTTTGTCCCCACCTCAAACTGCAAAATTCCCATGTTCCTTCACAGAGAATATATAAAGAAGAAGTGATAGAAGCTGCCAAAAAATTTAACCTGTGAATTTGATAGTCCACTGTTGCCATGTCAGTGTTGGTCAGCGACTGTCAGGAACTCCTTGTTCCATGTGGACCTTGCAGTCGTTATGTTGACCGAGAAAACTACATAGGGTAAGTGTAGCTTTTCTTCTGCTGGTTATTCTTTTGACTGTTGAAATCTATCGTGGTCTGTCAAGAATTATGAGGGTTGAATGCACCCAACCTGTTGGTACACAAAGCAACACGAAAATTATTAGACGTATTGATACTATACAGTTCAAACATAAGTTGTCAAAAGAGTATCCATCTTTGCCTTCGATTATTCTTCACGGGAAGTCTCTTCTTCCATCAGTCTGTGTTGTCAACATATTGAAAGAAATCAGTTGGGAGTTCAAATACCACAAAGCACGAGACATATGAATGTAAATTAGTGTAACTTCATAAATTCTTTGAAGTCTAATGTGTAAAGTAGGATGAAACTATAGGTTTTCATGCTCTTTTCATTAATGTATCTCCATTCCAATTTATATGGACAAATAGGAATGATGGGAATTCATTACACTTACCAGAAGACCACAGCAAAAAGTTGCTGACTTTTGATTCAGTGATCCAGGTTTACTATCAGTCTTCCACAAGCAAATACGTCCATGAACTGTGACAACAGAGAACTTGCTTAGTATTTCTTTCTAGTCACTGGAAACATGCACATGACCGCAAGCATACCTTGGTTTGATTGCAGAGATTGTTCTCTAGGAACTCTGGATGGATAGAGCTTAGAGAATCTGACCGCTTGCAATCTTTAAAAGAAACCGAGATCTGTGTAACCATTTGAGAAGGGCAAAAGCTCTTCGATGTCTACTTGAGAGCCAGCGCAATCCATGTTCTGTATTCGGCGGTGATTAATCGACTCGACTTCTGCTGTAAAAATGCTAGAAACAGGTCTATGATCAGAGAACCTGGACTCGCCACGAACGTAGGAGAGCTGGTTGAGGCCTCTTCCATACCATAAGATGCGATCGCACCTGATCCGTGAAACAATTTGATCAGCTTCACATATCAGATCAATGCATTCTAAGCTACTGTAGTGAAAATTGTTTGTTCTTAAATGATACCATGCAGGCGTTCGACGCTTCTCTTTGAGGTTCATGTCATCTCCAGCGTAGCGGTCCGAGTTGTTTGAATACTTGTATGTGGGAGGGAAGTATATTCTTCCTTCGTTCCAACCCCGGAAGACGCGGCCACACCTCCTTTCTATCCGAAGCTGCTTCAGAGAAAGAGCAGAATGAGCCACCAGAAAGTGTTCCTCGTGATCACATGAAATCTTCGCTAAGAAGCACGACTCTACCTGGTCTTTTTCCAGCAGTGCTTTCCAGTTACGCATTTCGACAAGTACCTTGGCCGCGCGATACGAAAGAGCAACGCGGTAATTTAGATCTCCAAGCCAAATTATTCGACTACTAGGGAGAAGAGCAAACGGCAAACATGAGAGCCATTAGCGGAACGTAGTCGGGTGTTCACTTCGCCAAGCAAATGGCAAACAGGCTTACTCATGCTGAAGGATGGTCTCAGGTGACCTGTCACCATGAACCGGAGGGAACCTTGTTTTTCTCAGGATCTCCATCACATCAGAGTTCCTCCGCAGCTCATCTCCATCCTTCTGCCCAGAAGTCAAATGGCTGCAGATGAAGCAGAAGCTTGTTTGGTGCAAACACATGCTAATCGAAATCGAACCCTGGAAGAAACAAGTTTAACAATCCTCCAGGTGATGTGGTTCTCATGTTGCGGCCGGTAGCAGCATTAAGGAATTGACTGCATTGAAGCTAGAGACAGCAAGAGACATGCAACTAAATCTTACCTTGTTCCCAAGATAACCCATCAAACCTCTACCAACACAGGAGACCTTTAGGTTCCTTATGCTCTCTCTTATATCTCCTCTCACCCATACAGTGAGAAATATCCCCACCATCTGCTTGCTTGCCACCAAACAATACCTGGTCGAGAGGTGAAATCCTTCTTTCAGTTGAGTTCTTGCTGGAAAGCAAATGCTCAAATATTTCTGAGGTATTTATTTTTACCTTGGATGTCCTGGTCTATCTCGCCCCTCCATGGATGAGGAAGCTGCGTGGCCATACGACATGGGCGAGTAGTGTGCTGCCATGCTAGGGGAGTAATCTCCACTGATGTTGTCGTCGTCGTCGTCGGAGCCACCCCATCGATAGCTGGGGTCGTAATCACTTGGCCTGTTTGCGAAAATGACACGCTCGCAGATGCTATGCCGGCGATCTAACCGGGGCTGCGGGGCCAAGACGTCCCCGTCGATCCTCAAACTACGGCTCAAGGACTGGAACGAGCGGCGGTGGAGCAAATGCTGGTGTCTCGACGTCGTCGCGCCTTCGAAGTCGTCGTCCAACTCCATGATTGGGTTGGGGACAGGGGAGGGTGTCTGGTAGCTGCTGCTGCTGCCATTGCCGGGAAGACCGTCGAGGGTCTTCCTAATGAGAGCGACCCATTTCCTTGCAGGAGCATTGTCTTCTGCCCCCAAAACATTTCCCGCATTGAGAGGAACAACTTCCTGAAATCTGAGAGACCAAAGCAGGCAACTTCACACGACAGACGCTTCGAGGAAGATGCACGAAGGTGAGGCACGTACCCCAGGACGTATATGTCTGCAGCAGGTGAGGCATGGAGCCAATCATCAAGATTCAGACTTCCTTTTGGGGAGTTCCCACCTACATTCCATGTTGCAACGAAGATCCTAGCCCAAGAAATCGAGTGGTAAGCGGCTCAAGGCAGCTAAGAAGTGGAATGGATGGGTGATTGCTTGGTTGTTGTTTGAAGGTACCTGTAGTGCTGGGTTTCGGTGACTTCAGCGGCAACAAGATCGATCTTTCCTCGTCGAACTTGATCGGACTTCTTCCTGGACAATCTCTCTGATGACACAAATTGAAGTTTGTGTGAGGAATAGGAACAATTCAGAGAGGGAAGGGAAAGAGAAGGAAGACATGGTCCAAAGCTGCAAGGCTGGGAGGATGCACTGTTTAACCTGTTTTGCTTTGCTTGACAGAGTAAGCTTCTGTCCCTGTGATGCTGACCCGCCATTCCTCATCGCCTCCTGAAAAGAACACGCACACACTTTAAGAAGAACAAGGAATCCATGCTGTGTTCTGCATTAATGGGCATCAGACCCATGACTTGTTTCACAGTGTTGGAGGGGAAGCAGTTGGTCCTCAGCAGATGCTGAGGAGAGAAGAGAGGGGAGCTTTGACAAGGAAGAAAAAGGGTTGTGGAAGACAAAACAGCACCACAAGCAATGAACATGATAGCAGAAGTGAGGGTGACATAAGCATCTCTACCTCTACTGACATAATCTGAATGGAAGTCCTCAGCTTTGCTCTTGATGTTGAACCATCTTACAAGGGACTTGGACCATGAGAGCTGCTCTCAAACAGATGAAAGAAGGAGAAAAAGAAGGCAAGCATTAGTAATCCACGAAGCTCAGTGGCACTTGACTGTAAGAGAACAACAGGTCTACTCAGAGCATCTGTAAGCAAAAACCTTGCTTTTCTTCGAAGTCCCATCTTTCATGGTTTCAGAATGCCCTCATAGAGCTGAATAAACGGTCGTCTTCAGATCTCCAGGCAATGAAAGGGAATGGAAACAGTAGGTGTTTCTGGTTTCCATACTGTTCCCTCCTCCTGGAGAAGAACAAGATGCAGAGAACCAGAGAGCAGAGTAGATATTTTTATGGAAAACAAAGATACAGATCCTTTACTTCACTTACTAATCTACTAGGAAGTTAATTTTGCTATCTAACAAGATCAAAAGGAACTGGAGAGAGTCACTGCCAGATTCTCTTCAGAAAAAGGAAGCTGTGATCTTTGTTCCCCTCTCTAGATGGGTTTTGATGTGGAGGATTGCTGACTGAAACAAGAAGTGGGAACCATAGAGTTCAAATGCAAGGAAGTGAAAAAGATTGGATCTTGGAGAAGAAGAAGAGTGCAGGCACGCACCTTTGAGAAGGTAGGAAGGGATGGTGTGTGAGGAGAATGGAGGGAGAGACTGGGGGCATGCTCTCCTTCAAATCCTTGTGCCTAGGAGTTGATTAAAGTATCCAGTTTTAAGAGAATAAAGTGCATATAGAGGCCCCCCATCTCCCTCTCTCTCGCTCTCTCCCTTCTCTCATGTCTTTTTCCTCCAAAATCCAAGACAAAACCATAACAGGGGAATGGAAGCAAAAATGTTGTTATCAAGCAAGAAAATCTAAGATGGAAACTAATGAGAGAACAAATGAAAAGAAGAGCCGCCAGACCCCACACACCATTTAGAGTCTTCCCCCTCACAACGGCCCCTTTTCAGTATGGCGTACACCCCCTCCTCTCCTTGATCCTTCCCATGAGGCAGGTGTAGGGAAGGAAAGAAATAAAACGATAAAAACATCTAATGAAAATGACACAGAAGGATGCAGAAAGAGAGAGAGAGAGAGAGAGAGATTTTGTTCAACTTTGAAAATGTCGAGTTTTTCCGGGTCGTGATGTGTATGTTTGCATGGGGAGAGACATACTTTTCAGACAATTTTTCTTTCTGTTTCTTTTGATAGCAGTAGTTCTTCCTTCTTTTCCCATCTGTCCTCTCTTTTGGTAAAACTTGTGACTCTTTGCATTGTCTTCAAGGTGTTGATGGCTAAATGCTATGTGGCATGGGGAATGTTCAGCGCTCCCATTCCTGCATGGAGAAGAGTTGAGATTTTCTAGGGGTCTGCAAGGTGAGAACTTTGTTGGAAATGCTTCGGCATGGCTTTCGAGTGGTCTGCAACCATAGTGGGTGTTGGATGAGACAGATAGATAGATCTGCAAAACTTTGGGAAGTGGGGGAGTCTTGAGGTTGGATCTTGGCTCAACCTAGGGCAGTGTTCAGAGACATTGTTGGTTTGGCTAGTTCGGAGACACGTATCTTCATCAAGGTTTGTTCTTCGTGATGGAAGAAAGAAACTGAAGAGAATCGATCTGTTGATGAGCACAGGCAGAGAAATGCAGGTTAATTTCGTCGTGGAAGCATCAAAAGAAAGTTAAGGGAGGCACTTTGGGCTTGTCACATCATGGAATGACACAGTGCATGTCAAACCTACATTGTTCAACCAAGAAAAGCTTGGTCAGATCATGTCCTGGCCAAGGTGATGACCAAGAATTCCAAACAGTGAATTCTGATTTGTACCACAGCCAGTGAACTGTTCTCTCAGAAAAGCTGACTGAGGTCAATGATGAGAATTCGGTATAAGCATTTTGTAGCAAACATGCAGTTTATGGAAGCTTTCCTCCATGGTTTGCTCCTGATAGGAAGTTAATGGTCTTCTTTCCCTCGACTCATTTGGCAATCTTCATTTTGCTGAGACATCATATCAACGAGAGCAAGTGGAGGCCAAGGAAAAGATATGATGGAAAAATAACATTCCTACCAACGAGTCCACTTCTAAATTGGATGACAAATCTTCCCTCCCCACCAATAACTCTCGTTGTGAGTCTCATGTTGACCGCTTGATGGGATTTAAAAGGCAGCACCCAAAGCTTAATTCAACAACCAGATGATGATTTTACTGTCAACCCAAGCACTCAATCTTATCCGTGATTAGATCTTCCTTGCTCAATCGCTAACAATTTTAAGAGTGGATAAGATTGGTCCATATCATGCACTAGTCCCTGCTAACTCTAAATTCCCATAGCTCACACAATTTACTTTCTTTTCTTCTTGGATTTGTTGTTTTTTTGGATGTTTTGGCCCCTTATAAAACCTCTCAAAGCAAATTCATCTGGCATGTTTTCCTGCAGTTATGAAATATACGTGTCAATCCTAAGATGTGATGATAAGCTACCTAATCTAATACATGTTGGTGTCTCTACCTAAATTCACCTTGTTCAAGAGTTTGCTTCCACAGTTCATCAGTCAAAGGAGATCTTTGGTCTTTGCTTCTTTTTTTCTACCTCCGAAACCTTATGGTTTCTTACATAGCTTCACTTCTTTAACGGTTTCATATCAGGCCTCTCCTTTGTTGCCTCTCCCCAAAGCACCTTTGGATCCAAGTGTTGGTCTACGAGCATGGCCTGGGGTATGTTGCAACAGTGAAGCTCCTTTCTCTGCTGCCATAATGCCATTTCCTTGTCACTTCTTTTGTCCCACCAAGACAGGTCGAGGAAGCAGAGAAACGCTCGCATGGACCACCGAACCAGAAAAGGATGGAGGAGTTCTAGTGTAATCACCGTTTGGTCATTGGATTTGACAGTCACCGTCAGGCACAATTCTGCTATCAGAAAGTATGGCCTCTGTGTTCTTGACTACTTTGCAAACTGCAGAAACATGGCAACTTTAGGTTTCGTTCACCTTCAGCGAGTGCTATGTGCAATACAACGATGAGTCATCGGATTGCAGTTTGCACGAGTAGCAGAAGGTTGAGTTGTATTACACTGTGGCTGGTCTCTGTGCCAATAGGAGTTGTTGGCTTCTTTGAGATCAGGGCTCAACCATCATCCAACCATCATCTGCTTTCTGAGTGGTGATCCATGGCGGCCATAACTTTTCTTTCTGGTTGAAATTATCGATGAACACCACCTGAAGATGTCATGGATTTTGACAATCTGAACCCTTTAATCAGAAAATTCTACATACTTTCTGTAGGTGTTTCCATGTACAGATCATTGAATTCAGGCATCTTAGGTTTTGCTGCTAACACTCGCTCTTGACGAGAACAAAAAGCTAAAGCTTTTGTAAAGCATTGCAATCAATGATGAGCAGGAACCGATATTCCCCTTAATTTCACGATGAAAGAATGAAATATGAAGATAGATATGTTTTTGTGTTTAATATGTGCTCAATATTTATATATGTTAGGAAAGAGGATTTCTTTCAACATAGCAATGAGATTTTATCGTACAGATAGAGAAATCTTAGTTGCTATCATGCCCCCGCAAGATAGTACTCCTGTCAAGAATGTCGATCTTGTACTGATGCGAGAAAAATTATTTACAGATGACAGGCTTCGTAAGTGAGTCTGTTAGATGATCAGTCATATGCATATGAGAAAGACGTAGTTGATATATGATAACTTGATCTCGCATGAAGTGAAAGTCGATGGCAATGTGTTTTATGCATAAGTGGAACACTGGATTGGTGCATAAGTATGTAGTTATGATATTATCACAATATATTGTATGAGTAGATGTGGAGTCGATGTAAAGTTCCTTGAGCATATTTATGACCCAATTGTGTTCTACAACAGCGGTGGCAATGACACGATATTTAGCTTCAATTATAGATTATGCAATTGTCTTTTGTTTCTTAGAATTCTAACTGATTATATTATATCCAAAAATAATAATACACCCCGATATGGATATTCTATCAGTAAAGTTTCCTACCCAATCAGTATCAACAAAGGCATGGAGGCATGGAGATAAAGTGGGAAGTGTTTACAAAAAAAAATGCCATGAGGGTCCCATTAAGATGTTGTAAGATCCGTTTAACTACATACCAATGCATAGTAGATGGTCGATACATGAATTATGATAATTTATTAACCACCAATAAGATATCTGGGCGTGTGACAGCTAAGTATTGTGAGAATCTAAATACTTGGTGATATTGAGTGGGGTTCGTAGTAGAGCTTCTATCATATAATTTGAGTGATTCACCAGTAGACAAAGGAGTTGTAACCACTTTTGCATCCTACATGTTCATCTTTGATAACAAATCATGAATATACTTTCTTTGTGATAAGAAAAGTCTTGAAGATATATATATTACTTCTACTCCAAAAAAGTAGCTCAAGGTTTCTAGATCTTTGAGGGAGAATCGATCTGTCAAATACTTGAGGAATGCCTTGATCTCCATGGAATTATTGCCCATGACAATAATGTTATCCACATATATCAAAGATATATTGTATTGCCACTTTATTGATAGAGAAATAGTGAGATATCAAACTTAGAGTTGATGAAGCCAGTAGATGTCACAAACAAGCCAAGTTCTATGTACCAAGCTCTTGAAGCTTGACAAAGTCCATAAATAGCTTTTTGTAGTTTAAAAACATGTCTTGGATACTAAGGATATATGAAGCCAAGAGGTTGCTGCATGAAGACATCTTCAATTAGGGTACTCTGTAAAAAAGCTACTAGTCATAGGTGCTAGTAAG